TCTGTTTTACACAATGGCATGGCCCTGACTTGGTTTAATGTAGGGTTAACATAGGTGTTACTCCAAACTCCAGTATATCTATGGCTGAAGATTACAATACGTGTCAGCGACCTGTTAGTTATTAATGTCCTGTTCGTTTTGCTAAAAATACAGACTAAAAAGTACTATTCCCTAATTTATTATAAAAGACTATGACCGATAAACCAGCAGCCCATGACTCCACGCCACCAAATATTCGAAATCGAGGGTCTAGACTGTTGTGTTGTCAGGTATTTTGCCTAAACATGCAAGCCTTTAAGTGGGCGAAATCGAGAACCCGTGTCACTTGAGTCGCATGTCGCGCTTGCAAACCGCGCTTAGGCCAGTCTCAATGGAGAGGTCATGGGAGTGTCATGCACATTAATTAGGGTGACACATCAGCATCAGAGCAATTTTTGCATGAAACGAGGAGGAGAGAGACCAATTTCGTTTCATGGCCACGACACTCGCGAGCTCGGTTTCCAACCACTCGGTAATCGCACGACACCCGCACTGAGGGGGCAAGAGTTTCATCACCGATCCCGTGCTCCACGCGCGAAGATGCGATCCCTTCCCCCCGATTCTGACCCGGCAGCATGATTCCTCTCGCCTCCAGCGTGATTTCTTCTTCCTCCTTCCCCTGGCGTCAATCTCCTTCCCGTGCGCGCGCCTTGTTCTCCTTCCCCATCCCATACGCCGCTAGATCCAGCGCCATGGATCCTAGTCGTAGCTCGGGCGGCGAGCGAAGGAGGAGGAAAAAGGCGGAGGCAGCCGTCTTGGAATGAAGGCGGCGTTCTCTCCTACGCCGCCGGCTTCTCCGGCTTCTTCATTTTCTCCTCCGCCGCCACCTACTTTCCCCTCTATGCCGCCGGCCCCTCCATCTTCTTCCCCTGCGCCAGCCCCTGCTGCGTCGTCTTCATCCCCACCGCAAGGAGTAGGAGTGCCGCTTGAGAATAACATAAGGAGTAGCATTGGGTGCCATGCCCCCAAATTTTCCATATGAACAAGGAAACCAGCAAGCCCCAAATCTATGGTATGTGTTGATTTTGATGCCTGTAATTAGTTGATTTTGATGCCTGTAATTAGTTGATTTTGATGCCTAGAAGTAGTTGATTTTGATGCCTGCAAGTGTTTGAACTGATTGTGATTTGTTTGATCTCTACAATTTGTATGATATATCATTTGTGTGCTCTGTTAAATGTTACTGAGCCTTCATGCTACTATGTTATCTTTTGTTACTGCAACTCAGAGCATGTGTAGATCTGATTTATTTGGATTCAAATGTTCAGGACTTGGTTTAGAGTTAAACTGAATCTCTCAGACATCTTTGAAAGTGACTGAATTTTTATATTCAAGTAGGTACCTACAATAGCACACACATATGCATATGAAAGTGACTGAAATTTTCTGTACAGAACATACAGTCTGACGGTTTAATAACTATTTTGGGCATCAATTCCTTACTAGACAGGAACTACATGCTATATATAGCGTTATATAATAGTAAAGCATGTACTTTCTCTTTATGTGCAATACGTCTTACTGCTTTGAGGAGGACTTAACTTGTTTTTGAAAATGTCAGGTCGGTTTATCCACCAGTTGGTTTTACGAATTTCCTTCAACGACCACAGTATCCGCCGCACCCACACATGCAAGGAGAAAATTTTCATTTTGTTGGCCAGACCATGAGCTTCAACCCAATATCTCCACCAGCACCACCAAGTGCCCATGGAACAGTAACATCCCAAACTGTGAAACGAGGCACTTCAGCAAAGGAGACGGTGAATATTGACATTGAGGAAGGGGAGAATAGTGAGGCAAACAGGGCAGTAAAGAAAAGATATTGGACTCATGACGAGGAAACGAGACTGGTAATCACTGATCAGTTTTTTTATTTTTGTTTTAGTAGGCCAATGTTTTTTATTTTTCTGTCTGCAACCTGACTGTAGTGGACCAATGTTTTTAACTGATGGTTGTTGCCGAATAGAAATGGCTACACGATTATAGAGTGCATATGATCCCAACAAACTGCAGCAATTAAATGCTTTTCTTAGCCTTGGAAACATCAAAGTGAAACGCTGCATTGTTGGGGTTGTTTCATGGATGGTTTCATTTGAGTCTTGATGACGTTTTAATTTTGGAAACTGTGCAATGACACTAGCCATTGAGACTGGCCTTAGTATAAAAATCAAAACACCTCTTCCTCAATCCTCATACAAGTAGAGCTGCGGCTAGTACGAATAGCCACGTCACCAGCAGGGGGCCCACCGTAGCTCGGTGGGACCCGCCGAGCACGAGCCAGGGGATGCCCGCGTCGTCGGTGCTGGGCCCAAGGGCGGCCCCGGAGCCCGTCTGCAGCGGGGACTGTGTCGGGGCGCCCGCCGGAGCTCCTCCCGCCGGCTGGTTGACGAGCACGTGCAGCTTCATCCCGCCCAGGCAGTGCAGCTGATTGCCGCAGATGAAGTACCGGTCGCCGGGCGCCGTCAGCGGCACCGTGGTGTTGCCGTCGTTCTGGGACAGGAGCGCGTTCGCGGCGCTGCAGTTGTTGAACCCGGCCTCGTCGACTTCGTCCAGCGTGTGGTAGCTGGAGTACTGAAACACTGGATCAAGGGGAACGAACGTACTTGTAAGCAAATTATGTGTGATCTTGTGTTGCATAACAAGTCAAACACGTATGGATGCGTCTTGCAGCACGATCAGGGACGTCGTCTGCTTTTGGTTTCCGATCGAACGGTGGCAAAGGAAACTAACAAAACCTGAACCCGACACATTTTCGCTCTTGTACGAGACAGAGCAGGGGATGATGATGTTGCCAGCCAAGGTTCGTACCTAGAACATCGCCGACGTTGAAGGTTTTGCCGTCGGCCCACGACGGCAAGTCGGCGCTGGGATCCCACCCCGCGCTGTTGCCGACGTTGTACGAGACCGCCTCGGCTCTCCGTGCCACACCGGGGACGAGGAGCAGGGCGCACAGAGCCAGAGCAACGCTAGCTTGAGCCATAGTATGCTCTCTGTGCAGTGCAGGGATCCGAGATATCCATGCGCGCCAAAAAGGCTGGGAAATATACGAAAACGGCAGTTCTTGGTGAAGATTGGTTACCTAATCAGCTAATCTTTTCGAGCGCGTTCTGAAAGGAACTGACTGCTCTGCTCGGATGCTTCATGGTTGCTCTAACTGAGCGAAGCGGCACAAGTCAGCGGCTGGCAGGGTTCCAATTGGGAAGGTGAAGCGGTCTTCTACTCGTCGGTTTTTTTTTTCCCGATGGTTTTGATTTGAATAGGTGATGCCGGTGAGGAAACTGGGTGTGTGTTTGTTGAGGTTTGGTGGTGCATTCTTGCGTGCCGTTGGGTACTAGGTATTGGCAGTTAAGCAGCCTTGCTGCCCTCGCTCGATCAAACCTTTGTGCGGAGAGATGATGTCATTCTCATGTCATGTTATATTCTGTGTTCCTTGCTTGAGCAGAAAATCTCCTTCGTGCTTGTGCTCTTGATTGAGATCGACTGTATCCAATCGGGGTTGGATGCGCGCTTGGTAAAATCTTGGGTTTGAGCAGAAGCCGCATGTGTAAAGAACAAAATCTGCTGATTGTTTTCTACGCCACCTGCTCTAAATTATAAGATATTTTGATTTTTCTAGATAAATCAATTTAACTATGTATCTATTCGTTCCGTTAAATTTGACTTATGCTGATGCTTATGCTAGTTTATTGTGAGAGGGAAACATTATTCGTTCGCTGAAAAGTACTGTTGAAATAGTTCAAACGAACAAGACCTAGTGTTGTGTATTTACGATGGAGGTGGCATGCACTGTTGTTAAAAGGAAAATTGGGGAAGCCTTTTGAGTACATTTACAACATATGAGAAATTGTTTTAGGGGTGGAGTGCAAATGTGAATAGAGATACTAGGAGAACAAAGGAAGAATTGTTGACCTGTCTGGATAAGTTGAGGGAATTGGAGCAAGAATAGTGGGAGTGCGTTGATTACTGATTTCACTGGATTCCCCTACCGTTAAGAGAGAGTTGTGGCCAAGTCCTCGAAAAAAGAATCTGTTTTGGGTACAGAGGGCCATAGGTTCGAATCCTGTCACCTTAATGTGGTATTCACCTGTGCCGAAGTGCAAAGCCCCGTAGCCTAAGCTAAAGTATCAAATAATTTAGAAATTTAGAATGGAGTGTTTTTCTAGGTCGTTCTGTTGCCGGGCTTTGGAGTGCTCTGGAAAAGAGCAGCGTTTGCTCGTTAATATTACTTCACGTTCCTTTTTTGCCGTGCGCCGTGTCTTGGGTTGGGACGTCATACAAAATCTCTGCAACTGTACAACAGTACGACGGCCGTTCAAAGACGAAGTAGAAAAGGCTTTTTAATTGCCGGTCCCTGTCAAAAAGTTGCATCCCTAGAAGCTAGAGTGTTGTCAGCATTTTGCGGGCTCTGCCGGGGTCAGGTCGGGCAAAAAATGCCCGGTTATTCGGGTCCGAAAAGTCCCCTATGACCGTCTGAATGGGCATGTCGGCTCTAATTTTCTAGGTCAGGTCTAGGCCTAGACAGGCTGCCCGGTATTTTATAGTGTAAAATAGATAAGAAAAAAAAAGTATTTTAGGCTAGACTTAGGCTAAGAATTTTTTTTTGAGCAGCGGGATCTATGCCCAAGCATTATCCAGTAAGGTTCGTGGGTGGGATAAAACCCGTCAGACTTGGGCCGGGCTCATTTTGATCAGGTCTAGTCGTAAAGAATGAAGTTTTATTTCTCAGTATAAGGAACAACAGAACTATATCGCGAGTAGCCAAAAATCACAAAAAATACAGATTTGGACGTACAGTATTAACCTGCTACTGCTATGGTAGTGGCGTAGTAGGGCATACGGAATATAGCGGATCAAACATGTGCAGGTCGGAGCCCGGCTGGCCGGGGACGCAGCAGAGAACGCACGAAACCAAATAGGAAAATCATGAAACCGCACTGCCTTTTCCCTAGCGGGTCCTCAATTCAGCCCATCATCAGGGCCGCGAGGCCCACGGCCGCGAACAGCAGGCCCGTCGCGAGGCGGGCCCCGGTACCAGCCACGCTTGAGTCCGACTCGCCCGCGTCGGCCGTCGTCGTCGCGCCACCAGCCGCCGGCGTCGTGTTCGTCGCCCGCATGGCGGGGCCGGCGCTGCTGCTGCCGCTGTCGCTGCCGCCGGAGACGGTGATGGCGAGCTTCATCCCCGAGGCGCAGTGGCCGGGGGCGCCGCAGATGAAGTAGCGGGTGCCGGCCTTGGTGAGCGGGACGGTGGTGCTCTGGTCCCGGTGCGACCGCAGCGGGTTGCTCGCCGAGCACGCGCTGTGGTCCGCCTCGCTCACCTCCAGCACCGAGTGCGATGAGCTGTACTGGAACGCTGCAAAACCCGGGAAGACGCGGTCACTGCATTTTTTCGTTCATGAGATACCCGAGGACGAACGAACGTGCTACTGACATTAAGAGAACATGCTGCATTGACAGTATTGGCGATTACTGTATGAATGACGAGTTTTATTTGGCACGTACAGAGCGTGTCGCCGATGCCGAACGGCTTGCCCTTAGCCCAGGCAGTGTAGTCCACTCCGGACTTCCACCCGGACGAGTCGCCGACCGTGTAGTCCTTTGCGGACGCCGGCACGACGGCGACGGCGACGAGGAGGACAATGGCCAGAAGCAGGCCGCGCGGAGTGCCAGCCATGTTTTCCTAGCAAAATGTTGAAGCAGACGACACCAAGACTGTAGTAGAGTGAGGTGAGTCAGGAAAGGGATCTTGATCAATGGACAAGGCTGTTTAGGCGTTGAGAACGGTTCTTATATATATATAGGCCAATCGGTGATCATCAGGCGTTGTTTCATTTTTGTCGCTGTGGGATATACGGATATTTCGTTAGCTATTACGGTAGTAGTAGTAGTGGCGGGGGGTGGCCGAATTTCGTTAATTGCGTAGCGGCTTGTCGTTACTTTAATTTAGTCTTCGCACAAATGCGTACGACGAAGGTATTTAGTGGCTTCCTTTGCCCCAGGGAAAAGAGAAGAAAGAGCCTGGAGATGATTAATGTATACCTAATACAAAGGTGCACCACCGTATAAGTACTTATTAGTACTACTAGTAGTAAATAGACGATGATGGCTGAACAAAGCCAATGATTTGTCTACCGAATTATTTTCTTTGGTAGAGCATCGCCATTGAATGAGTTGCTTTGCTTATTACACAGGGAACATAGACAGCAACCTGGAACCTTTACCGTGGGTATTACAACGCTATTGTAGGGGAATCGAAAATTCACAAAAATACCCTTTTTTTAACGAATATATAATTATAGTGAAATAGAAGGGCTATTCGTCTAGCTCCGCGCGGTTAAGTTTGTATATGGTTTGAAGACAAGGAGCGATTCTAGTTTTCTAAAACGACAAAATTCGCAACAAGATTTCAACGAAGTCAAGGATCCACAGACTAAACTCCCCCATCTGAGTGGTCTCATATAGACAATGCATCCCTTTCCTTTTACAATGATAATACTTGACGATGCAACAAAAACAATAGCCATTCCAACAAACTGAAAAGCATAGTGCAACAAGCCCAAGACCATACAGAAATTGCAACAAATAAAAAAATATTGCTGCAGCAGGCCTACAAATTCCAGAAAATTGGCAGCGCAACGGTGCAAGCAGTATGCAATACACATGCAGCCAAAATGATCTCGCGCTAGACAAGTAGATATCCCTAGCTATTCCAATCAACAAGCAAGCAATTTCATCCACCGCAACGGATCAAATCCTAAGTACAGAGGAAGAGAGAAAAATGGATGCTATGAAATCAGATCGGACCCTCCAAACATGAAATTTTTTCAAGTAATCCTCCATGCTCCGACTCTATAAAGATGGCCAGGGCGCTAACTTACAGGCGGTGTAGTCTCTTCGGAGACACTCGATAATTATAGGTGGTGTAAGGAAGGAGATAACTGCTTAGTTTAATTGCTACTATTTCCTACTAACACCGCACCATTGCGTTTTGGATGCGTTGATAGTCAAAATTAGCTTGATTGAATTTTATTATGTGAGCATCGAATGATCCGGACCTAGACCACAGTCAATAGTTCCGCTAAGATTGTGAAAGGCCAAGGAATAAGGTTCATGGAAATTTTTTAAGAACATCGTTTTTTAATAAGTAAACAAAGTTCCAGCCTCTACCATTCGGAGACGGTATACAACTGAGGTGAGTCAATACAAATCAGAACCATTAGGCTCAAACTCTTACATCCAGAGTTGTTGATGTTTTCCTGTTTCAGATAATTTTTAGCTCAGACCCGTTTCCATATCCATTCCAAGATAACATAAATAAAACATCTTCAGTTTTGAAATAGACTACACTAAATATTTTAGGAAAGATCTACACCTATAAATACTTAGGACTTAGACCTTTAACTCAATTCAAGCCATGAGGCTAGACGCTAGGAATTACCAATATCCACGACAAGCTAATAATTAGTACTAGATAGGGCTCCCCCTTTCAAGGAGCCCCCATGAGCCTCACGGAGGCAAGCTCCAAGTCCTTGCGATGGGTGGAGTCAGAGGGTGACCTCTCCGACTTCTCGGACTCAGAGTCCTTGACTCGACAGGGCTTTTCAAGGTAGCTGGCAATTGTGTCGCCCCTGGGCCTAAGCATGGAGCAGCTATGAGTCATGTGGTCTGCTTCATCATCTTCCACCTGGAGAGTGGTGGGAGGCTAGGTGTCGGTGTTTCGGACCGGGGGTCCTCAACCAACCAGTGAATTTGTTCTGCGTGCTCCCGATCCGGATGGCGATGCAAAGAGACACAAGGTTTATACTGGTTCAGGCAATCGAGGCCCTACGTCTAGTCTGAGAGATCGATCTTGTATTCTTTGCACCGAGGTGCTCGTAGTAGGGGGTTACAAGCTAAAGGAGAGAAGGAGCTGGTCCTAGGTCTCGGCGGGGCGTCGTGCGGTCCGCTTGAGACGTTGCTCTCAGGCGGCCGGAGTGTGCGTGTGTGTGCTCCTAGTCCTCCCCTAAACAACCCAGGTCCTCTCCTTTTATAGCATGAAGGGAGGACTTGGGCGGTACATGAGCTGACTATACAGCGTCGCGTGAACAGAGGCGGCGTGTCCGAGCCCTGTAGCCTGTTCCTGTGGCGGCGTGGCCGTCGGAGTGGTCCATCCTTGGAGTACTGGGGCGGCGTGGTCATCCCATCAGGTCCTGTGCGTCGTGGGAGCCCCAGGAATGCCTCGGAGTGGGTGCGGCGGCGACCGTGCAAGCCACTGTGGACGGACTGTGCGCGATGCCGAGGCTGGCACTGCGGTGGGGGGGTCTCGGCAGGCACGAACCCCAAGATTGCCGAGGCCTCGGTGTACAGTGCCGAGGCCTTGAGCGGGCGGCCGATCATGGGTACAGCGTTTGGACACAGAGGTCGGTAATCCCCGTCGTACCCTTTCCCAGCCGGTATGGTGCTGGTCGTGGACACAGTGGTAGGACACAGTGGTCGGTAATCCCCGTCGTGCCCTTTCCCAGCCGGTATGGTGTTGATCGTGGACACAGTGGTAGGACACAGTGGCCTGTCCCGGCCGGTATGGCTCTGATGCGACCTCGGGTCACGTCGGCCATCCTGTGGCGTTGAGCCACCGTCCGGCTGAGATTGCGGGAGTGGTTGAAGCATTAATGAGACATGACGAGTTGTCGGGAGGGTCGGCCGAGGCGGGGGGCGACGGACCGTGGACGAGCCGGCCTCAAGCGACACGGAGAATGAGGCCTCGCGCGATACGGAGAATGAGGCCTTGCGTGATACGGAGAGTGAGGCCTCTGCCGAGGCCTTCCCTGGATAGCCTCGGGCGAGACGGAGACGGCGTCCCCTGCCGAGGCTCGGCGCCCCCTGCCGAGGCCTGCCCTGGGGAGCCTCGCGCGAGGCGGAGTTCGTTCCGAGACCTCCTGCTCGAGGCTCGAGGCGGGGTGGAGGAGGGCTCGGTCGTGGCAGGTAAGGGGCCCACGACTTACCTTCTAGCTTTGTTTTGATGTTTGCTTGGGGTACCCCGTTCTAAGGTACCCGACAGTAGCCCCCGAGCCTCGGGGTGAGTGCGTGCACTCTCCCTGAGGGTTCGTCGAGGCTGGGTTTATGCTTGCTCCGTAGGAATTGGTTTGTTTTCTGAGGTTCCGGTGGGTGCGCGCGAGCGCACCCGCCGGGTGTAGCCCCCGAGCCCCTGGAGGAGTGAAGTTACACCTCCAGGGGCTCTCTACTTTCACGTTTGAGTGATCAGTTCTTATTGCATTTACCGAGCCCATAAGCGCAAGTTCGGGTTGCGGGGGTCTCGACGAGGTTGCAAAAGAGGCCCTCTAGCCTCTGCATGGAGCGAGAGGTTTGTCAGGGGTCCCCCTGACGTTGGGTATGTCCCTCACGCTTCCTTTCGCTCGGAAGGAGGGGTGGAATGTGCCATGCTACCCTCGATGGGCGCGAGCGTGGACACTTTCGGTGAGCTGTTATCGGGTAGTCCGAGTGGAGGCCCGAGCCCCGTTCGCTAGGGGACGCCTAGCGGTCCAGAGACGCACTCCAAAAGTACCGGAGGATTTCTCTAGTGGGTGCCGAGGCCATTCGCTGGGCCTCGGTGGCTCGGTGCCTCCCTACGGTGGGATCCCATTCGGATACTTTCCTGTCGGTCTCAGACACGACTTAGGACGCCTGAGCGAGCGCTTCGTTTGGGCTGGGCCATTCGTGAGCTCGCCTCAAGTCATCCCTGACTCTGTTGCCCTGGGGCGGCTGTCGAAACCTCTTGGAGGCCCAGCCTTCGAACCCCTGGACCGTAACGGGCTCGGTGCCCTTTATCGTGTTTTTGTCTTGGTTTTCGGGTGCAAGAGGAGCCCCCGGGCCTCCGCCTGGAGCAAGAGGACGATCGGGGGTCTCCTGACTTTTTCATTCACCCCTCACATATCCTTTTCGTTCGGACGGAGGGTTAGATTGCCGAGCCCATTCTGGTCTCGGCAAGATCGCAGGAAGAGCCCCTAGCCTCTGCGCAGAGCGAGGAGGGCCGTCGGGAGTTCCCCTGACTTTTTATACGCCCCTCGCGTGTGAGGGTTTGTTTGCCGAGCCCATTCTGGTCTCGGCAAGGTCGCAGGAAGAGCCCCTAGCCTCTGCGCAGAGCGAGAGGGCCGTCGGGAGTTCCCCTGACTTTTTATACGCCCCTCGCGCGTGAGGGTTTGTTTGCCGAGGCCCCTTTGGGCGCGAGCCCGGGTCGTGGGGTCTCGGCATATTTGCAGGAGGAGCCCCCTAGCCTCTGCATAGGGCGAGAAGGCCGTCAGGGGTTCCCCTGTCTTTTTATGCGACCCTCGCGCTTCCTTTTCGCTCGGAAGGAGGGGTGGAATGTGCCTCGCTACCCTCGATGGGCACGAGCGGTGGCACTTCCGGTGAGCTGTTATCGGGTAGTCCGAGTGGAGGCCCGAACCCCGTTCGCTAGGGGACGGCTAGCGGTCCAGAGACACACTCCAAGAGTACCAGAGGATTTCTCTAGTGGGTGCCGAGGCCGTTCGTTGGGCCTCGGTGGCTCGGTGCCTCCCTACGGTGGGATCCCATTCGGATACTTTCCTGCCGGTCTCGGACACGACTTTGGGCATCCCAAGCGTTTCGCTTGCTTGGGTCTCGGCCCCGAATAGGCTCGCCCCATGATCGCCGACTCGACTGTTATCCTGGGCAAATTGT